AAGGCGGTCTTCCGACCTCCAAAATGTCCTCCACAATTGAGCTCGTGGCAAAACGCTAGAACATCCGATTGCTCTTCTTCGGGCACACACCTCCGAAGAATCTCGTCTTTTCCCATCTTAAAGAGAAATGGATCATCCCAGAAATAACTCCTGCACAACAAAACAAAACGCTTTCTCTCTTGGGAAGAGAGATCAGGCCGCAATTTTCCACAACTCAAATAATTCACAATGTCAGCGTACCAAACACTTTTAGACACCGCATGCACATGCTCATAAGGAAAATTATCATTAATGGAATGGTGCACAATCAAAGAAGATGATGATTCAGATGGTACTATGCGTGACAAGTGATCAACAACCACATTCTCGGACCCCTTCCTATCTCTAATGTCAACATCAAACTCTTGCAACAGTAAGATCCACCGGATGAGCCGTGGTTTAGAATGAGTTTTGCTCAAAAGGTACTTTAAAGCCGCATGGTCAGAGTGAATAATCACTTTAGAACCCAAAATATATGATCGAAATTTTTCAAGAGAAAAGACCACAGCTAGAAGTTCCTTCTCGGTGGTAGTGTAATTCTGCTGGGCCCCATTAAGAGTCAAGCTAGCATAATAAATCACTCGAAGCAACTTATCAACTCGCTGACCCAAAACGGCGCCCACTGCAAGATTAGATGCATCACACATGATTTCAAAAGGAATAGACCAGTCAGGGGCAATCACAATAGGGGCACTCACAAGCTTGCTCTTTAATTCATTAAAAGCACACAAACAAGCATCATCAAAAACATATGGCACGTCTTGAGCAAGCAAATGACATAGAGGCTGACTAATTTTAGAAAAATCCTTAATGAAACGCCTATAGAACCCAGCATGCCCCAATAAACTCCTAATCCCCTTAACATTCACGGGAGGGGGAAGTTGTTCAATAACATCTACTTTGGCCTTATCGACCTTAATCCCCCTACAAGAAACAATATGACCTAAGACAACTCCACTTCTAACCATAAAATGACTTTTTTCCCAACTCAAAGTCAAATTGGCCTCAATACAACGTTCAAGGACACGAGATAAATTACAGAGACAATGAGAAAATGAATCACCAAAAATAGAGAAGT